GCCCCCCCCCAACAACAACAACAAAATGAAACCTGGCTAACATGTACCATTTGTTGTATCCAACAGAGCGGAAGATCTTCAAATGACAAAAAATGGCAATCGGTGAAGTCTGACGACTAGATTAGTGATGTGTATAGAATCTATAGATGTCTTACCAGTCAGCCTTCAGTCAGGTACAATTAAAAAAAAAATAAAAAAAAATCGTTTATAAAGTAATATAAACTTTATACTAAGTTTATAACTTTATAGTAGTTTATAATATAATAATTTATGGCTAGGCTAGCAGGTTCAGGCCGGGCAAAAGCAAGTTTTTTTTTTTTTGACAGTGGGCCAGCCTTGCACCTACTGAGTGAGATGTGCATAAATTCGGCCTCGTCTTTGGATTTGGTGATGTCTCACCCAAGGGTGTCTATGGGGTATATAGCTGGGTGGGGTTTGAACGGCCTCAAACCATCGGTACATCTGGGCCTCTTCTTTACCATTGTGGACTCCAACTTCGCACCAAACTTTGCCGAAATGCCGGCCAGATTGTTTCTTTTTGTTTTGGCTGCTGCTACCGACCATTTTTGTCCAGTTGTCCCAAGCCGCCGATTTTTTTCGGAGAGGCTCAATTGTTATTCGCAACTTGGTGGGGGCCATGTAGTGGTGATTTCAACTTTAAAGGGTTTGTGATGTAATTTCAGTAATTTAAATTATGTATTTATTTTTATTTTTATTATTTTTTTAGTATAAATTTCATAACGACTTCCGGAGTGATAGCAAGATTTGTTTGCTTTGCAATTGTGCATGACATAGTTCTTTTTCTTTTTTTTTTGATGGGCCTGTCCCGGAACTTGAGCGGGTTTTTGCACGAACCTGGCCTGACCTGGCCACCTGGTTCCAGTCAGACGCAACCCGGGTGGCAAGGGTGGTAGCGCTGGTTTAAAGTACTTGATATAGTATGTGGTACATACTACATAGTGCAAACTATATAGTATATAATATATATAATAGAGGCTGTGTCGAGGTCGAGGGCCAGCATTATTGTGGTTTATAACTTTATATACTAGTTTATATATAGTACTTCATATGATTGGTACTATTTTAAATTTTAATAGTCTGCTATTGATTTATTAAACTAGTGTCGATTAAGTTTCAAATCATATGAATCTATGCTATATTGTTGTCTTAATGCATGTCCTTTTACGAATCTTGAGCGACTCGGAGTGTCTAGATGGCTTCTATCTTTGCTTTTCATCGGCCTGCCCGACGACATTGTTTTTGGGAAAAGTTATAGATC